AGCTAACAACTGGCATTTTCCAAGGGATGCCTTGAGTCTAGCAAGAGGTACCTTAACCCTCTAATGGCAATTCCAGGTTGTAGCCATATTGGCCTAGAGGAAAAGGCAATTCTAGGTTGTAACCTTATAATAGCTGAGAACAGCTGTCCTAAGGGAAGAGAACAGGTAGGAAAAGAGCTCCCAGAGCAGTTAACTACCTCAACAACAGAAGAGTGCAGGCACTTCACTGCAGACATAAGCTATTACCCTGCTAAGCATTTGCACAGAATGGCACTTAGATCACTGGGAAGCTTGTGAACTGCAAGTAAACTGACAATTAGCAGGCAGCCACCCTCATGGAAGACACCACTAACAATAAGAGCAACAGATAAACATGACAGGAAATAGGATAGGTCTAGTTAGACTGAGGCATTGCAGGAATTCAAGTAATCCTGGAGAGATACTATTTCCTCTCACCTTCTTGGTTTTGGCTTTGTTCTGATCGTGTTTCAACAGCCTATCACACACACAGACCAGGTTTGCAGTTCTGCATAGTGGGACCCAAGCTTTGCCACATACAACACACGCACAGGACTCCCGTGGATTCTGATCTGCAACAGACTCTCACAGAATCCTCTACCATTACATCAAGATGAATTCCATGAAGGCCTTTAAACCTGGAACAGTTTCTAGAGAATTTTCTGAACAAATAAACAGAAAAACCCTATAAAACATCATGGTCTCTAAGATTCTGAGCTTTCCTAGAGAGTTGTATTAGGGAAGAGCTGAAGAAATAAAGACACATTCATTTTCTTTAATGAGATGCACTTGTTTCCTCTGTGGGTTTGCTGCAAACAAACAGCAAGCCCATATACCCATTTTCTCTACAGTTTTACTAAATGAGGGTGGTCAAAGGCTGAGGGAAAAGACCCAAAAAACAAAAAATAAGTCCTGGAGAAACTATTCTTACCTGAAGAGACTCAGAGTCCTAGTTCATAGCAATCCTGGAGAAAGGCATTCAAAAGACCCTGCCTGTCTCCTTGTAGCAAAGCCCTCTGAAGGAGAGGAGATCAAAAGCCTATCAGCTGCTGGCTTCTCTGACTTTCTCTGAGAAGGAGGAGATGGATTCAGCAGAGAAAGGGTTTTCTGGAGTAGGCTAAAAACAGCTGACTTGGGGACTTGAAAATCTTTATCTGAATGTGGAAGAGTCAGTCATTTGTGGTCTGGAGGACAAATAGTTTATGTGCTTTTTCCTGTGTGTTGACAGAAAAATGTCCTCTTTCCTTTGAAACAATTGCTGTATTTTCACCTCATTTTCTCTGTGAGGGGCAACACATGCTTACCCATGTGGCCAACCATCAGGGGCATGCCTGCAATGTGAATGGGGGGGACTTGGCCCCCTGGTATCAGGAACAGACAAGATTAGAGAACTAAAGGTCTGGACTAGAGGCAGGAGATCAAGGTCAGGCAGGTTAGGAGGCTGAGGTCTATAAGGGATCAGGGTGTAGGTGGTTAACCTGGGTAGAACCACAGGCCAAGTGGAGAGGGTCAGGAACCTGGAGGGCATGGGTCTAAAATTGGTGCCACTAGCCAAGGGGTCTGGAGCAGGCACCTTTAGCTGCATGTGACCAGGACATGAGCTATTGCTTAGATAAGTCACATGCCAGAAGCCAGCTGTCTGAGGACAGGGATCTGGAGCCACAGGGGTCAAGGTGCCAGCATGGCAGTCTGGGAACATGAGGGTCTGGGTTAAAGTCGAGAATCAGGAATAGGTAGGTGGGAACCAGGATGAAATCATGAAGCAGGATCCAGGGCACAGGAGACCAGAAGTAGGGACCCAGAGGCCAAGGGCTAGAGAGGGCAGTATCATGTTTTGTTGAGTAGCCTGCTGGGCACTGAATGGTGACTGGGGCCAAGTGAGAGCAGTTAGGCCACTAGCCACCAGGCCAATTCAGGTAAGTAGGGCCAGCTGGTGGCAATTTGGCTAGCCTGCTGCCCTGACCTCCTGACACTAACCATCTAACCCTGTTAAATTCTACCAGCTCTGCCATAAGCCTGTAAGTTGCATAGAGTGACTGTAGCATATTGCTTATGACATCCCTCTCCAACTGACCTGCCATGCTGTGTCCAGAAGCCCTGTGCAAAGTCTATCTGCTTGCTTCCTCTTGTCACATGTTCCCCTGAGAATTCAGGGGAACCCAGAGCACCTACCCAGTGTGGGTTTGGGGAGAGCATGTGTTTGGGTGACAGAGGAATCTGATGATCAGGGCTTTGGCTATGAACTGCAGGATCCAGGATAAGGGGAGGGTGTGTACCTCTGATGCACCTTGAGACTCCATGCCAGGAGCAGTACCTGGGCTGTGCTCAGACTGCACAGGTAGAAGTGCATGGGGGATGCAGTGGTGGGCTCCCAACAGCCTGGTGAGTGCCCACCAGAGGACACTTAGCCAGATTCTTTCACCTCAGGGCCATGATCAGTTTTTGCTCATCAGTTGCTCCACAGTTACTTTCCACAGGAGTCCCAGAACTGTACTCCATTGGACACTGCATACCTACAGCCCTCATCTAGTTTCAGTCAGATTCAGCATGGTTTAATTCCTGTGTCTCTGGGATGGTAGGGTATAAAAGGTAAACAGCTGCTACCTTTCACAGTAGTAGTGGCCACATTTGGTGGTAGAGCGAGTAAATTGGAACCACCAGGCTCCTCACATGTAGGATGGTTGTGTCCGTCTTCCCAGGAGGTGGTGGAAGGTGGGTTGGCTGGAACAGCAGCACAGAGACGAGATGGGTGGTGATTCCCTGCACACACTGGGATCTTCCCCTGCATTGCCTCTATAACACCTTCCTTGACCCCATCCCTAGCACCCCTGACACAGCCAGCCTTCCTACCACATTTCCCTTCCTACCACTGGAGTAAGGGAAATGTGGAGACTGGGCAGCATTCAGGAGGGACAGCGAAGGCTGGTCAGACACCAGAAGTCAGAGGATTGGATCTAATAAATCTCTGATTTCTGCCACTATGCACTGGGTGATGAGAGCTGAGCCAACTCTGACAAGAATTGCTTTTCCCTTACTAAACCAGGATGGAGAAATGGAGAAACCTTAATGTACAATAATACGGGTGTGTGTGTGTGTGCGCGTGCACAGAGACTCCCTATGCCTGAAGAAGGGTGATTGCACACAAAAGCTTGCTAAGAATTTTTTTCCAGCTACTCAGTTGGTCTAATAAAAGATGATATATATATATATATATATATATATATCTGGGAACATGGGGGGGATATATATATATCTTTTATTAAACCAACTGAGTAGGGGGTATTCTGGAATTTGACACGAGGGGGTGCTGTCATGCCACAGTTTCCCAGTATTCGTGGGTAACTTAATGCTCTCTAGCCCCTTCCACCATTTCTCAAGGTTTCTTCAGCTTTGCCATCCTCTTAACTGCAGGGTGGCTGCAGGGAGGGAAGAAACCAAAGCGTGAAGCACTTCCCGTCTCTTTCCTTCTTGGCATCTGCAAATGGGGTGTGTTTTACTAATGCATCCTCTTGCTGAGCTTCACTGAAGGACTGATAAGGGGAGGCAGAGTTCAAAAGAGAGAGGTTGACTGGGCAGCAGCTGCTGCCGCCACTGTGCACAAAGGAGCTTTGTCTGCCCAAGCGATGGGTGCCTGATTCCTGCTGAGCGATGCATGTGGGCAAGGTGTGAGAAGTCCCTCATAAAACAACTGGTTGTAGCCACAGACGCAAGTATTCCTTGACAACCCTGATGGAGTGAGGCCATCCAGATGCTCTGTGGGCATATCGGATGGAGCTGGTACTGGGGACCTGATGTATACAGTGCACCTTATGTTTCCTTCACAGGGTGACAGCCAGGAAGGAAGGGGAGATGGGCTCTGTAGAGGGACTGATGTGACCCTGTCTGAGGGAGCTCTGAGGAAGGGAAGAGGGTCTGGAGGTGATAGGCAGGGGGAGGGATCTGGAAGGCAGGAAGCATTGATAACCTGATGCCACTGGCACCTTCTCTTTTCTGTGGAAATGCAGGCTGTTAAGCTGAGGGATATTTCTATGCTTGGTGGGTCAAGAAGAGAGAACAGAAGGGAGAGCTTTAGGGGAGAAAGCTCAAGAAGTCTGGGCCTGCGTACAGAGGAAACTGGCTTATGAGAGAGAGAAATTGAGTCTTTCAATGAGTGACTGGCAGGAGGAAAACTGGAAGGAGCTTGGAAAAGTGAGGGAAAAGAGATAACAGTGGTTTCCTATCACAGTGATGGCCACATGTCCATCTCAAGGAACTTTGGGCTGGCCACTGGCCACCCCAGTCCTCTCTATTGCAGTGATAGCCACACACCCATCTCAGTGATCTTTGGGCTAGCCATTCTTCACCCTAGTAACAACAAGAGCTTCATGCCCCCTGAAGTGTACAAGTAAATGAAAGGGTGTATGGGCCTAGAATGGAGATCAGGCTGTGTGATGGGCACTGCCAGAAGATGGTGTCCCTGCCAGGAGAGCTGAGAGGAGTTTTCTCAATCTGAGTACTTCAGAAAGCTGTGATCCATGCAGGAGGCAGGAAAAAGGCCATTTTATTGTACTTTGAGTCAATAAATAACATGAGCAGCATGACACCAGAACAAACGGTTATCTCAAAACTTGTTTCCTTGGAACACTGAGACTTTGCTTTGAAAATAGTATTGGGTATTATAATATTGAACATATTGCTTTGAAAAAATATATAAGCACTGGACCTCGTAGAAAATTCTTCAGCTGTCTTTTACCACCTGGAATGACAAAGGGACCAAAAGGCAGGAAATCTGTTCATCCCCTGGCCAACTGGGCAGAGCCAGAGGAGCAAGAGGCCTCTCATGGCAAACATCTTCATTGCATGCACTGTGTGGCACTGGGAAGGGTGGGAAAGGCAAAGGTAGACAGCTCCTCTCCCCATCCTGCCCTTCCAAGGAAAAATCTAGGGACAAAAATCAACAGGGAAGACAGCAGAGAAGACAAAAACCAGCAATTGGACTATTCATGCAATGATCTATTAAATTGTCTTTAGAGAGGTGGAAGTTCTGTGGAGCTGCAGATGGAGTATTGGAAATAACAATACATGGTGCTTCAGCAGAAATTTCCATCCAAACACCTCTGAACTCTCTACATGTGCTCAGTCCTCTATCCTTTTAACAACCTGCTGAGGAAAGTGGAGATTAACCCAGTTTAAAACATCAGTGTGGGGAGACACGGAAAGGTGAAGTGACATGCACATGGTTACAGAGTGGGTGGCAGGTGCTTGCTCTTGCCACTAGCCCATGCTGCCTTTGGTTTAGACATTACAGAACTGACCACTAGGAGGGCTGTGCTGCTCTGCCTGGTGGCTTAGGGGTTTGGATGGCAGTGACTTCAACTACAGATGGCACATGGCACTCGCTTGGCATGTGGTCTTGGTCTCTACCCATACCCAGCTGGACTCTTCTGTTTCATGATGCATTTGATCAGTGTCTGTGGAAGGGCAGGAAGAGCAACCACAAGCCACAAAAGGAGCTTGGGGTATGGACGGGACTGGATGGGGAGGCACTGGTAGTTCAGTCCAGGCAGAGCACAGGGTTCTCCAGGAAGATGATCAGTTTGCCTGCCACCAGGTCCAGGTCACTGGTGTTGGCATACTGGAACAGGTTTGCATCCCTGAGGAAGTAATGCTTCAGGAAGTGCTGGCTCACACACTTGTGCAGCTTCCGTACCAAGCGCAGGAAGCCCTCCCGGAAGTAGCGCCAGTCCTTGGCACGCGGGTACTTCTCACAGGTCCAGAGCAGCACCATCTGTGGGGGTAGAAGGGAACATTACAGGGCTGTTGCCAAGGGCCCACTCACCTGGGGAAAGGAGCTGGGCTTGCAGCCCTGGGGACTGGAAGCTGTGGCAGGGTGTGCTTCCCTGTGAATAAGCCTGGCTCCTGGCATGGACGGCTCACGAAGACAAGGGAATTAGCTCATGAAGACAAGGGAATTAGCTCCATTAGGCAGCCAGCCCTTACCTTCTCACTGCTGAGCAGACCCATCTGGGTGCTGTAATGAGTGCTGCAATGTGGACATTGGTGAATGAAACCCAAGGAGTCCTTTTCATACCATGGCCCCAGACAGCCATGAGAGGAAAACAGTCACTACTGGCACTGGCTAGCATAGAGCCAGGGACAACCAGCAGTTCCCTGAGTGACTCCACATGTGTCCCATTGCCTTTCAAAGGCTGTTCCCTTCTTCTGCTGGCCTCTTTGCGCCACAGTAGGTATTGGGAGGATTCTGGGGCTCATGGTAGTAAAAGGCTTTGGCCAAACAGACATTTTCCTGCCAAGCCCTGGAGAACCACTAAGAAACACCTCTGCCCTCTCACTTCTGCCCTGCTCCCTCCTGAGCCTGGTAAGTGAGCAGCGCATACAACATGAAGCAGCCCTCAGCATGTGCCCAGAGCCACCCTTGGGCCCTCCTGAGACACAGAAGGTGACAGAGCAGCACTCTGGTGTGCACTGAAGACCCCTCTAGGTTGTCTACTTTGCTAAATGGCTGGACCCTGGTGTGTGTGGAGCAGGTGTAAGTGGGAAGGGCTTTTTCCTTGATGATAGCCCAGGGTTTGCCCATGCAGACCTAGCCTCTGTGATCCTCAGGTGGTGGCATCTGTAGAAACTCCAAGTGTGTTCGTGTAACGTACAATGTTAGTCAAGAACTAGCAGCTGATCAGGCAATTACATGGGGCAGTGTAAGGCACAAGCAGCCTTCTTTCTGGTGCTGCCTGAATTCTGGATGCTGCCTTATAAATTTGCAACTGCTAATGCTTGTAGCTGTGCCTATGGGATGTAGACAGATGGCATCTGTTCTGCTGGGTAAGGGAAATGGCGGATAGCACTTTGAGGGGAGCTCCTGGGAAGGCAATGAGGAAGAACAGTAGCCATTTCAGCCCTGCTTATTTGAACTATAGCAGAACTCAGGTCATTCATAACTAGCTGGTTCCTAGCCCCCTTCATTCAAGGCAGATGGCTGGATGAAGGATGAGCTGATCACCTGTTCACTGTGGCTTTAACATCAAAGGATGCTGCTTCTCCTCTCAGCGGGAGCGCCTCCGCTGAGGGTCCTGCACAGCTCATTAGGGAAGTGGCACCCTTGGAAATAAAACCTTCAGCGAACAGCTGGAGTCCCTTCAGGAGTCCCACACAGTTGTTTGCTGTGGCTAGATATACCCCCAGCCCCAGAGACTTTGCAAACCCTCCTCTTTGTAAGGCAGTAAGGAACCTAATCTTGCCAAGTATCTGGGTTCTGCTGTCTTTTATTAGACCAAGTAAATAGTTGGAAAAAGGATCACCTTTCTTCGGCCATTGGGAGACTATGAGTTCTCCAAAGTAGAAAACAGACTTCGTGTTTATTTTAGCTTCTTTTCTACCCTGGAGAATTCATAAGAGCAGCAGAGTCTCCCTATGCCTGAAGAAGAGTGCTTGTGCCCAAAAGCTTGCAAAGAACTTTTTTCCAACTATTTACTTGGTCTAATAAAAGATATCATATCTACCCAAAGAACCTTGCTTGTGTATGTCCTTAGACCAACGTGGCTACAATCAACAGCCTCAGGTTCTGCTATATGTTTCCAGTCAGGAAGAGGTTCCTGCAATGAGGACACTGTTCACCTGCTACTGGCAGGATGGAAGGGGCTCCCCTTTTGCCTCCCCCATCACCATGATTGCTGTACCTACTTGGAGGTGGTAGGAAGTGAGAACAGGCTTGTTTCCTTTGCACCAGACGTCTTCCTTCATCTGCCTCATGACCCGGAAGCACTTCATGCGGCACCCCCCATCCTCATCAATGCCCTCCATCAATAGGCACTCAGCTCGAGAGAAGCCCAGCTGCCAGTGGTAATTGGAGCGGGCCAAGAGGTTAAAGCCAAATGACTGTAGAGGAGAGGGGAGGGAGACAGGATGAGATGCAAACTTGTCCCCAGAGCAGCACAGAACAGGCTAAAGGGAAGCCCCATAGCTCCTGTCTGCCACCTCTTGAGGTGCCTGGCATGGCACCCTGGACCAAGTCACAAGAGACAGACACAACAGACACCCTGATTCCTACCAAGTGTATCCTCATCTTGGCTGTCTGAACACAGAATTACACAACAGTTTCCTGACCTGGAGCTGCAGGATAGACAACAGGTCAGTGCTGACCTGACCAAGCTCAGCCCTGGCAGACCTTGGTCAATAACAGGACAAGACCAATAGAAGTGGGATAGTATGACAAGATGCTTTGCAGCGAAGAAATGTGACAGGAAGAGAGAGGAGACTAAAGCAGCAAGGGATGGTGGATATCAGGCTCCGGTGGAGCTGAGTGCACTGCCTCCACCTCTTCCTACTCATCTCTGCTCAGCAAACACTGGCCTTCCTGCAAGAACGCTTTGCAAAAACTAGGCCCCTGCCACACACTCGACATATTTCTTGATTAACTGGTTAATCATGCAATACATTTAGACCAGCCACACATGCAAAGTAATTATCATCCCCTGCTCCAGTCAGTCTGGGGCCCAGGCTGTGGGACTTTCATTTGTGGACCCCTAAAAAATGTTGAATGGTGGTGCAAACCCCTTTGGGAATTCTGAATGATTCAGAATGTATGGACCCCTCTAATTTGTAAGTGTGGGTATTCACATACTTTTGATTGACCATAGTCACATTTTGCAGACCCCTTAGACATAGTCTGAGGATACCTGGGCCTCCACAGATCACAGGTTAAAAAACACTGTTTTAGACAAGAAGGCAACACCCTCCACTGCACCACCAGGCCTCCCATTCCCCTAACACATGGTACCTTCACACATTGCACTTTCTCCTGGGAAGGCCAGCGCCTGAGGCAGCGAGGCCACTGGGCCTTCTCTGGCCAGCAGGTTAAGATCTCCACTGTAGGCACCAGCTCCACCTCTACTTGGAGGTCTGATGTTTCCACAGCAACTCGCACCACTGAACTGAAGCTCTCCAAAAGGCTGATTTTTCCTGGGAAGAAGCAACAAAAAGAAACAATAAAAAGGGGGCTGGTGTTCTGCACAAGCCACCCCAGAAGTGGTTTGATGCTCTTCATCTAGTGTGTACTCTGTAAGTCGTGGACCCACCTTAGCTCTTACTTTCCAACAGTGGGACCAAAGAGCAAGAAGAGGAAGCATGCAACACCAACTTTGCCCCTCAACATCTACTCTTTGGCTGTGTGGGACCCTGAAAATCACAAGACCAGCTGCAAACAAAGGTAAGCAGAATTGCTGTGGCTTAAACTTCTCCCATAGCACTGAACCCCAAGAGACAGCAAAGAAGATGACTAAGCCTCCCTAATTTCAAAACAGTCCAGAGAGAAGCCTTGCATCCAGAAACCTCCAATTCCTTATGGACTGTCTAGATCAGTGATTCTTAACCAGGGTTCCCTGAGATCCTTAGAAGTGAGTTTCAGAAAGTGTGAGGAAATAAGGCTCCAGGTGTGAGGAAATAAGCAGATAAGAGCAAGCTCAGGTTTCTCCCTGACTGGCTGCTCCCCCACCCTCACAGGTCCTTCTGCAAGGAAGTAAGCACTGTAATATATAAATCAGTTTTTGAAATGGGGTGCTGCTCAATTCACCAAAATTATGGAGGGTGCCTTGAGCCTAACAAGGAGTGCCTTGAGTCTACAGACATAGAGAACTACTGGTTTAGATCCATACATGAAATTTCTTGTGGGACCTATCATTGCCCTTGGTGCTCAGTCACACTGAGCCTTGTGGCCATGTCAGTGTCACAGGGGCAGGGTGTCAGTCGCACTGCTGAGGAAATAAGCCCTGTCCATGCCCTCCTGCTCCACATACACCATGACAAAAATAGGGTGGTGAAACAAGCCTGAAGAGCATCCTTGGCACTGTGTTTAAGACCTGGGTTTCCAACTGCTTCAAGAGTAGTGGTTCGGGAATCCCTCCTCTCTCTCTCTCTCTTTCTCTCTCTCTCTTTCTC